CCCCCCCCCCCCCCCGCCCCAGCATGCTGGGGAAAAAGCAGGGCCCCTCTCAGAAGGACAGAGACACAGCAAGGAAAGCTCTGGATCTGGACTTATGAAAAACTTCCTTTGCCCCTTCCCAAACCCTCTGCTCCCCGCCTCTCCTGTCACAATGGTGTCCTCCCTGCCCCTCTCACTCAGCTCCTGCCCTGGCCTGCAGCAATCTCCACTCAAGGCCTTACCCTCAAGACCAGCATACTCAGGCCCTGGTCATCACCGAACCTCTCCATCTCAGCAATTGTGGACTCAGGGAACCCACCTCCAGTTCTCCAAACCTGTCCTCCCAGACTCACACCTACTATCCTATTCTGGGCTTCGCCCCTTTTAGGCAGCTCCTAGTCCCTCTCTAGAGGGAACCTTTCCCTGGCAGCTCATGCCACCTACCTGGTCTCTCCCCTCCATCCCCTCAGATACTGGCCCTTCCATTCCAGGTAATTCTCTTCTCATTTTAGCCAAGGGCACAGCTCCCTCACCTCTGGCCTTCCGTTTCCACCTTTATCTACATCTACATCCACTTTGCGGTCCGGTAGGGACCTTGCCACCATCAATGAACTACTCCACCCCTTGGCTCCCTCCCCACAGCAAGCTTAATTCTTTCCCACCTTCAAAAAGACCTCCTGGACCCCAAGTCCCCCACTAGCTACCAGCCCATCCCTCTGCCCCTTCTCTTTCACCATACGGCCTCTACTAGAGGTCCTTTAGACCACTCATTGGGGAGCAGAGGACCGAGTCAGCAGGTTCTGCTGAACTTAGTCACATAGTCTGCATCTGGAGACTTCCTCTCACCTCTTCCAAGGGAAAGAACAAAGGTCTGGCCACAAACTGCCCAAGGAGTAAGCTCAATCAACCAACCCAAGGAAAATGAGAGGACAGAAATTTGCAGGGAAGGGAAGGAGGTGACATTGCCTGACCTGCACATAGGCTGAGAGTGCTGGTCTATGTGAGCCTGAGGACATACCCGCATGCACACACGTACTGCTGGGAACACCCACAGATGCACACAGCCACAGGCTCACGTGTATAGACACACAGTCTCAAGCTTTAGGGGCAGTATCAGTTGGGTGCCTCCTGACACACCCACGCCCACAACAGCCTTGACTTCCGCCCCTTCCTGACTCAGAAGGGTGGGGTGGGGGAGGATAGGGGGGAGACCATGCTGTCTCCTTGCCCGCCCCCCCCCCCAGGCCAGTTACAGCCCTCCTCTTCTCACAGTGACCCTGGGCCTGCCTGTGGCCCAGTCCACAAGCTCCTGCCATTCAGCCTCCTGCACCTGGAGTGGTCTCCTTCCAGGTTCATAGGCCACACTCCAATACCTGCATCAGCTGAGCTGGAAGTAAGGAAAGGCCCTGGGGACTTAGGGTAAGTGTGCACTCTGACTCCATGAGACCTGGGTTTGAATCCACGCTCAGACACTATGTGACCCTGAGCAGATTACCTGACCTCACTGAACCTCTTCATCTGTTAAAATGCATAACATATCTTTTGAAGGGTGGCCACAAGATTTAAAAAGGTAATGTATAGGGGCGCCTGGGTGGCTCAGTCAGTTTGGTGTCCAGCTCTTGGTTTTGGCTCAGGTCAGGATCTTATGGTTCACGGGTCAAGGCCTGAATCGGGCTTCACGCTCACAGTGCAGAGCCTGCTTGGGATTCTGTCTCTCTCTCTGCCCCTCCCCAGCTCATGTGCTCGCTCGCTCTCTCTCGCTCTCTCAAAATAAATGAACATTTTTTTAAAAAGTAATGTATCGGGGCGCCTGGGTGGCTCAGTTGGTTGAGCATCCGACTTCGGCTCAGGTCATGATCTCACGCTCCATGAGTTCGAGCCCCACTTTGGGCTCTGTGCTGACAGCTCACAGCCTGGAGCCCGCTTCAGATTCTGTGTCTCCCCCCTTCTCTGCCCCTCCCCTGCTCATGCTCTGTCTCTCTCTGTCTCAAAAATAAAAAAGTAAAAATTTAAAAAATGAATAATAAATAAATAAAGTATATAAAATATATATGTCCCATGTAGGATACAAAATTGTGTGATAAATGGTACAGTTAAGAACCCAAGCAGTGGCCTAACCTTGCTGAGTGACTCTGAATAACTCCCCTGGGGGTTGGAGGAACTTGGAAAATGTTCTGTGAGGGAAATTCCTTCCAGCTTTGATATGACAGATTAGTCCTCGTGCCATCATCAGCACCAGAGCACTCCAGCACTAGGCTCAGAGAGCCAGCCCCTTTTCTGTGGCTTCCGTGCATTGTCTTATGTAGCCCCCACAATGGCCCTATGAGACTACTATTGTCATTGTCCCCACTTTACAGATGAGGAGACTGAGGTGCAGGGAGATTAATACATCCCAAGGTCACACAGCTGTTACATAGCGGAGCGGGATTCAGACCCCAGCAGTCTGACCACAGAGCCCAGGCCCTTACTCTTGGCTGCACTGCCTCCCTGGTCTAGCCCTTGGTTCTCCCAGCCAGAGAAGAACCTGACCCTGTGATGGCCTTTATCATGCTCATCTTGTTCCTGTGGAAGCACGTTTCTGTGTTTGCCTGGGAATGTGGCTGTGCCTCACGTGCTTTGCATTTATCCTTCAAATCCAGCTGGAAGCACCTGCCTGCTGGGGGGTCCCAA